ACTCCTATCGCTGCTCGCCGCTGTCGTTGCTCGCAAACGCTACCTCTGTCGCTGCTCGTGCCTCCCACTGCTCACCGCTCCTGCTCCCGCTGCCGCTGCTCGCAAACGCTGCCTCTGTCGCCGCTCGCGCCTCCCGCTGCTCGCCGCTCCTGCTCCCGCTGCCGTTGCTCGCAAACGCTGTCGCTGTCGCCGCTAGCGCCTCCCGCTGCTTGTCGCTCCCGCTCCCTTTCTCGCTGCCACTGCTGCTGCAGCTATCGTTGCTCGCCGCTGTCGCTGTCGCCGCTCGCCGTTGCTTCCTCGTTTCTCAGTCAGCAGGCTCAGTATACAGTATACTGTTAATATTAAGTTTATTTGAAATGATTAATTTTCAATACTGTTAATAGATTTTCTTAATTTAATAACATATTTTTATTTAAAATTTTAAATAATTATATTTATTAATTATATTTTATATTTTTATATTTTAACGTCTCGCTTCGCTCGGGCGTTTTTGGACCTTGGCGCCTTTTGGCGCCTAGCGCTTTTTAAATCACTGTCCTAGAATCAACTGGATCTGGTTTGAAATTTTCAATCATACAGAGCTTGAGAACATCACAGAAATCTTGGCCTCCAAGAGATCTCAAATTAATGTTGGTCAAGCAGAACTGGTCTGACCAAGCTCAAATGTAAGTAGTGACAAGAGCTGCATCTTTAATCACTCCTGTCTCAGTGCATTCTCATGCAAATTTTCAGATACTGATCCAACAAACATAAAAGCAATTTATTACTTTGTCATTTAACTATGCACACATACATGCTAATAATCTCATGATGCCTATCAAGAATATGGCAAGCACAGCGAGGAGCACTGAGTGAATGGAAACATTGTTTTACAATTATAATGAAAATTGTATGTATCCAGAAACTGCAAATAATCCTGATCAATACTGTAAAATTTCTCTAGTTGACCCAAATAGTTTGGACTTACTGCTATTTTGCATCTGCGGAATGGAAGAACTGCATAGCGAATCATATGATATGTGATCTTGTATGTCTGTTCATAGCCATTGACCTTTTTTACATAAATCTCAGAAGAAAGGATATTGACAAACAGACCAGAAGCATGTTGATTTATTCACACTGAGAAAAGCAGATCCCTATTCCTCATCTGAAAGCATGATCATAATCATGATAATAGAAGTTCTTGTAGATGAAAACAGAGAGCCACTTGGAAGCAAGGAAGCATATAACTGCCGTCGAGACAATCACAGTCCTTGTAATGGTCGATATCATGCTCTGATTAAGGGCTGCGACAATTCCTACAGAAGCTATTGAGATAATCTGCAGAGATAACTTAAGGGCCTTCAGAACTTTTAAAGCATCACGACAGCTACTGCATTGGACGACATGGGACCAATATCTGAAAGTAGTGAAACAGACAATGTTTTAGTTTTAGTACTTCATTTTTAAGCAAGCTACACTTACAGTACAGAAGGGGAAGCATATAAAAAAATAAATGCATGTTGCTGAAGTTCAAAGTTATCAATCTCAGTACGAGAGAAACAAACACATGTAATGTCCAATTGCATCATAAGATTAAATATCTTGCTTATCACTTGAGGACAGTCTGACAGAATTAGATTCCCACATGAGTGAGACTGCCTCTGCAGAGCTGAAGTCCTTCTGACATATACTATGCATTTTCTTATTAGAATCTCGTATATTTTTATAGATCAGTGGACATCATTATTGTACTATGTTTCCTACAATAGAATACACAATTGCACATATGCATTTAATAATAATTTACATAGGAATGAATAGACCACCATAGTTTTTACCTGTCCATAAGTTGCTCTCTTGGAGGAGTAGGCAGAAGTTGTTCACTAGATGTGGTTCCCCAATTGATCTGATTGTTTGAATATTTCCTTAACCAATTTCTGAAGGCAACAACCATAGCATCTGACTTTGTAGGTACAAAACAGACCTTTGGCCAATTAGAATAACCAGCTTTGGCAAACTTCCGCTCCTGTGAAGAAAGATATATTAACGAAGAGCCAAACAGACAAGCCTTAAACTTTGGTAATACTACAATAGTTGCTTCGAGCCTTCCGCATATTAACATTGCTGGTCTTGTCTTTAACAAGCAAATCATCATTCAAAAATTAAAATAAGGAACATCATAGCAGTGTGACATAAGTTAACAAAATAATTAAGAGACTTAGCATATCGGCAAGGAATATCTTCCACATTACCTTAACTTCTGTGATAGCCTAATATAGCAATTAGAACCATGCTTTTGGAAGATTTGGCAACATTAACAAAATAAGTGGATATGCTGCTGCTTTGCAACAATTAAAAATAAAAGATTATTAGGCCGGAGCACTTCCTGTTTTCCTTTTGTTGCTTATCAGAGTTGAGCTCCAACATGACAAGAATTCTTATCTAGTTGCAAGAAGACACATATTTATGAGATAATGCCATGAAAGACAAATATGTACCTAAATTTCCAAAATCTTATGTCATAGAAATGTCAAACACTCAGCTTTAAATTTCAAAAGATTATGTGGAGAAAGAACAGAAAAGATAGATGGCTCAATTTTTGTTTGTGGATATGGATGCAAACATCTGGGTGCAGGTGCATGTCCAAGCATATGATCTTTTGAATCCTAAATCATAATGCAAGCTTCAATCCCGCAATTATGCCATTTTGGTCAACACAGGTCCAAGCCCAGATGTTATCAATAAATAATAGCAAGAATAGAATACAAATTGCCATAACACAACGTTGAAAGTGAAGTTTCCATCTTGCCATCAAGAACCAACAAAGTGAGCAGACTGGTCAATTAATGTGATGCAGTGCTACTTGTTTCCTGCATTTCAGATGTTCCTTGGAGGGTGCCAAAAAGAAGAAGTGCAAATTTGATAAAATGGTACGTGATCTCCAAGAGGAAAAGACTGGGGAAATAAGCATGATTAATGCCTCATTGATGAGGAGGTTATTATGGAGATTGGATATTAGGAAGCAGTAAGTTCATTTGATTTTTAGAAGATGTGCTAGAAAACCAAAGGGATTTTTAAGTCCCAGAGCTTCCAAATTGAGTTTCTCTGCAGAACTTATATAGTTACCGACAGGTCAAGACTCAATTACTAGAAAAAGAGGAATTAGCTGATTTCAGACATAGTTGAGATGATTAGCTCTCTGACTGCTTAGCTTGCGAGGTGTTTTAAACATTGCTCAGAGTAGAAATTAGCAATCTAGTGTGCAGAAGCAGCTGGTTGTGAAGATCAATCCCAGTCAATTCATGTGCCTGATAATTCTTTGATCACGCCCATGATCCCCAGGTAAAACATGCAATTGGGGTGCATAATGGATACATACACAACCACAAACGCAAACAAGCTCCACTAGTATAAGGGTGAAAGACGGTATAAGCAGGATATTTATTGACTATCTATTCTCTGTTTAATTTTAGCCTGCTAATGTTTGGTTTATTGCATAATGATATGAATATTACCTCATATGAAATATAAAGATTTTTTTTTCCCATAAAGATATCCCCAGGACATAGGAAGGAAAAAGATGAGGATGAAATTAAGTAGCTTAAAGAAAGACAGAGGAACTAAATATGTCTTGCTGAATTACGGTGAAGACATCTTTGTCCTTTAAGATTTAGTAACTCATTTTAGTTTAAATTCATAAATTAGTCAAAATAAATATATCAGGAAGAAACAAAGAAGAAAGTAATCTTACCTCTACATGAAGAAGATAGAGGTCGGAATCAAGAATAAGATTCTGGCCTACGTGAAATATCCATCGTGGAACAACTTGATCAACCCAAACTGCAAAGTTTCTTGGGAAGACATAAATCAATCTGCTTCTTCCTGGACTAACTGGAATACACATAAAAATCAGAAGAAATCTACGTTGCTTCTGGAGTGTCTTCAGTGCAGAACCCTGAACCCACAGTAGGTTATATATCTTAGAACAGAGTGGACACTCTCCAATTGTCATAGGAAATGAATTAATTGGGTCCAAAACATTACCCCTTGGACATCTGATGATGAAGCAGATCCATTCCCTGACATTAGACGATGAGGTGCAGAATAAAATACACATGGTGCTATAAATTTGTTATAGCCAATATCCCGCTGTGCAAGGAAACCATTTATGTTTGATGTCTCAATTCTTATATCAATAGGGCTGCCTCCTTCTCTGTCACCATTAACTGTGAAAGAGTCTCTCTAGTTAGTGAAATAAAAAAAAGGATAACTTGCACAATACAAGTGCTTAGTTTTCTGTTGACTTGCAGTTCAAGGATTAAACGTTAGTAGAACACAAGCTCAAGTGCTTCAGTCAGCTAATTTGAGACAAGTTTTCAAGAAGTACATATCTGCTAGTCAGACTTTTTGGGATTCTCATTATTCCATGGTGTGCATATGGAACGTGAGCCGGGTCCATGAGGTTCTCTATCAGAACTTCATACCTGAAATGTCGGGCAGGTACTTAGTGATGACTTCATATTCCAAGAAAAGCTGAACAATAAATCAGGATAATCTAGGCCTAGAAGAAGAAAATGCAGATAACATGGAAATTTAAAATAGTGTATTAATTGTCATCACCTAGAAACATCTGTCTAAACATAAATATGAGTGGCACATGGTTAACTGGTGGCAGAAGAATCACATCCACGGGCAAGCATTGCCTTTTGCAGCATGAATGACAAATCAGAAAGTCAAATGCCAAAAACCTAAACAATCTTTTCTATAAAGCAAACACATCGATCAAGGTTGCCTAGAAGACAGATCGAGTATAAAATGCAAGAAATTTAGCAAAATCCAATAGACTTGCCATCACATAATGCCATACTGGTGTTATGCATTTCCTTCACTTTGTTTCCTTATTTACATGTTCTTGCAGTGGTTTTATATCATTTCATTATTTTTTGAAGAAATCAAGACATCTGAGAGAGTAAGCACTGGCTGCTACTTGCAATTTCTATGTGATGATGCCTACACTAATGAACAAGAATATAAAAGGGCAAGTTATGACATTAGTCAAGAGGCACCAACACGAACAAGCCCAAAGTTCTGTACACAATTTTAGAAACTGATGAATCCCTCTATGTTCAAGCTCATGTTCTTCTTTTTAAAAAGTTTCTCAAACTGAACTCCATAATTATTACTAAATGACATACTCAAAACTTAAATTTAAACTTGACTATTGGAGTCACTGGTTTTTTCCAATTGCCTTGGAAGAGGAATGTGTTTGCACACAATTTAGCTAACTACAGTAGACTTAGCTAACTTGTACGTTGGGAGCTGAAGCTTCCACCCCATTCAGACTTTTATGATAGCCTTCCAATGGAAGCATAATGAAAGTTCTTCATTTTCTTGAAAAAAAACTCAAATTTAAGATCAGAACAGGTAATTTGACCAAGAATGGTCAGTTTATAAATGTTGGGATTGAAAATTTCATAGTTGGGATTGTAAATGTTTGATGATAGGAAATTAATCCAGAGAAAAGAACCTACCCATATAGAAGATCTCTCATTCCCATTGTAGAAGTGTATGATGGATCATCTAACTCTTCAATATATGGAGGCTTTGCTTTCACTGCGATGTCTTTGCACTGAGGATCTGTGCTTGGCCAGAACCACAAAATCTTATTCTGTTCAAAACTTGGATAAACAGAAGCACAAGCCTTCCTGAATGTATGAACCTGTAGGGTTGGATGATCAATCAATAGTTTATGTTTAACTTTATTTAAACAAAAGGTTAACATATCACACAATCACACAATGTCACACATACACATTATATGATAGCTATTGCTTACTCATAGAAGTTTCCATTTATATCATTACTTCCTAGTGGAAAGGCCCTTGACTTACAACCCAAAACTTACTTCCTTCCCAGTTTGAATAAATTAAAAACAAAGAGTATCTACCTGCATACTCTCATACTTGTTTTCTTCTAGGTGGTTTGTTTAATTTGGGCTAGGTCAATGTGGAATAAAGTTGATCCACTAATTGGACAAAAGTAAATTTAGTTTAGTGCACTAGCTATACAGTCAACATATGATGACTTGTGTCTCAAACAACATGTTAGTTATTTAATACTTGTAATGAATAAAACATTTGATAGGCTACCACCCAATACAAGTCAATCAGGTGGAATCATTATGATCAACATGAAAAATAGAATCCAACAGCCAGTCTTATTGAAATTGATATCAGATGGTCACTATATGGCCTATTTTGCACATTGTTATGAATAGCTCAGGTCTCTGTCGAATTGACTTGAATTAAATCCAACAAAATCAAGTCCCACACTGGCCAAAACAGATTGATTTGATTCCTGTTTAGCCCTATTCTAGTTTAAACCATTCAATTACATCTAACCAAATCAAGAATTATACCATTTCACCTGTTGTTCTATTATAGTTCCAACAATTTTGGTATTTGGAAAGCAAATTCACATGATTTCCTATATTCCAATGCTCAATTTTAGCTCGACTGTCACGATGTGATTCTCAGTCATGTGTGTTTGTTTCTCATTGACCAGCACTAGAGTCGTGAGTTGTTTCCTTGAGTTGCAATCACTATTCTGATCTACTAATATGTGTCTAACCATGGTCATGATCAAGGAACATGTATCGTTTTAACCACATTTAGAGCGAGGAAGAAATTATCTATTCGTCATGTAAACAAAAAAGAACTTATCTACTCAATTGTAACACACCTAAATCAAAAGCCACCATACAAAGTAGATTATGCAAAAGCAAGAGCTTCGATAATTGTTCAGCGGGTTACAGTTGGCCACCTCAGGCGGCAAATTCGTCGGACTCAGCTCCACAAGGTGAATCCATGTATACAATCCACACTATATATACTCTAAGAAAAGCATCAACCAACAAACTTATTTCAACAGCAGAACACAATAAGATGGTCGGACAAGCAAAGTTACTCACCGGAGGCCCATCGTCCGGCGCCTGGGGGATGTACTTGCAGCTGCCGCTGCCGTCGAAGCACCAGCCATGGTACACGCACTGCAGGCGGCCCGACGGGTCGATGCGGCCCTCTGAAAGCGGGGCCAATCGGTGGGGGCAGCGGTCGTCGAACACCTGCCATCGCCCCTTCGTCCGGTCCCACCACACGACGAGGTCCAGTCCCATCACAGTCTTCGCGTGCGGCCGCCGCTTGTCGAGGTCGCAGATGGGGGCGACGGGGTACCAGTGGGCGAACCAGTCGAACTTCTCCCCCTCACCGGCGGCATCTGGTTCCGCTTCGGTCACCACCGCCGCGGCCGAGGAGGAGGCGGAGGCATGGCAGTGGAGTCTAGCGTTCTTGATCGAGGAGGAGAGACGGAGTACCGAATATTGGAATGAAGGGTAAAGAGGAGATGGGAAAGAGCGAGGGGTTTTGGATGGGAGGGAGTGTGGAGCGAGGAGAGAATTGAGAGCGGCCATGAGGCGATGGGTTCGGAAAGGGCATCGAGGCAAACGAGATGTGCTAAAGGAGGAACACGACGGCTTGTGGAGCGAACATGTGGTGCCATGAGATGGCTGGACGAAGCAATCGATTTAAAACACACTATTTGACCATTTCCGACCGTTAAACTATTTGGATAATGGGCAACATCAGATGTGAAATACATAAGCATATATACATATATATATATATATATATATATACGTACATGGGTGATTAACTGACTCGTATGGGTCCATTGCGGTACGGTTTGGTCTATTTCGGGCCGGCCCATTAACTGACTCGTTTCGTCGAGCCGTTGCCGCTCCACTACGGTCCGGTTAATTGCCTGTGTGGTTCCCTATAAATACCAACCACCATGAGGGTTCCGTTGTTTTCTCTTGCTGTCGCTTTCGCTGCTTCCGGCTCTTTGTGGAATTGATCTCGGCAAGGTTCGAAATCGAAGAACGCCTCTTCCTCTTTCTTGTTTTTCCTTCGTTCTCTTTGCAATGGATTTTTTTGGTGTCGTTGAATGCTGGGTTATATAATGTTACGCTATTGTTCTTGACGTTTGTTCTTGTTCTTTTAAACAGTAGTGTATGACTTATGTCGTTTATGCTAGTTGAGACGATCCACTACAGAAGATGAAATTTTTTTGCGTTGTGGGAACGATTAGGATCTTTAGTTGCTTATAGTGATTTTGGTCGAAGATAAGTTCTAAAAAAGGTTTTCTTGAGATCGATTTATGATGTTTCTTGATAGGGATCGGTAATTCTGGTCATGCATCTTCTAGATGGATGCGATCTCCTTAGCTCCAGTAAGTTGGCAAACTGAAAATTGGTTCTGTTTGCCATAGTGAGCATTCCGTTACAGAAACTTTCTTTATGTTCCGCGAGTAGAAAGCATCACAGTTTCCTAGAGGCACCTATTTGTCCAACCTATACAATATGTATGGGAAATTGGCCGTCATAGCCGGAAGTTCGTCTTTTGATTGTTGTTATTTGAACTTGAAATTGGCAGTTCTGTGAAGGAAATTGACAGGCATCTTATGAAAGGTCTAATTACTGGTTACTGCATGTATGCTGTCCGATTCTCTCTAGTGGTGTGTGCGATTACTATAATGTAGCAATTTTTTTAGATGCATAAAGTATTATCATTTGCATTGTTTGAAGAGCCCTAGATGCTATCAGGATTCTTGTTGTTAACCCTGGCAGCTTTAGTAAAGACTGAGGGTTCAAGTTTAAGTCTAATTAGAATCAATATGTTCTAGTTTGTACTCAAGATAACAGATGTATTATCTGTAGTTATGATGGAAATTGAAGCACTTTTGGGTCTACTAGGCATGTAAAGAGGAAGGGCAAACCCGAATCCCTTTAGACTGTTGATGAATTTGGATTTGGGTTCAATTGACATGTTTCAAATCGAGTCTAGTTTTTTTTTTTTTGGGAATAGTTTTAGTGCCATGGAAGGATTCTTTTATAAGAATTATAAGTTGTTACATGGCAATGTTTCCTACATCCTATCTTTATTTCCTGGATTGCTCAAGACCGTGGATAGGAAGTTAATGAAAAAAAGGAGGGAAGAAATTAAAGATTTAATCTTGAAAAATAAGTGTAATCTAACTGCAAAGATGGAAGTGTTTCTACTTTCCATAATAATTCTCAGTGACATATTGTTTATAAGAGCTGCTATAAAAACATCATTTATGCTAGAGATGCCTGCCCTTAGACAGATGATGGCTTACCTTTTCATTAGGTGGATCATACCACAAATTTGCTGGGATGTTCATACCACAAGGGAAAACAATGCCAACAACGAAATGAACTCTTGTTGAACCTATAAATTGACAAGGGGGGAAGAGAGAGACGCTACGGTATTAGAGAGTTGCTGCAGCTGCATGATCCTTGTAATCAGGCAGACCAGTGTTTAAGAAGTTGCCAAGGTGGCAAGAGGTTGGGCTTTGTTTACATTTTTTTCTGTTCTTTCAGCTGCTGTTTGATTGTGGAAATACATGCTCTCTGCCATAATGCATCCACCATCGAGCGGCAGCTGTTGTCAGAGCAACTGCTAGAGACACAGGTTTCTATTTTGTCTACAGTCTATATGCACTGTTCATGATGTCTAGATCCACCATTGAGCGTCCGGTTTAAATAGTTGAACCGAATCAGACTTTTAAGTGTGGTTCGATTGGCTAGTTGATTCGATTGAATCAACTAACCACTTTCTTACCTACAAAAGCCACCCCGCACGCCCGCGCGATCAACCCTAGCGAGCGTTCCTCTCCTCGCGGCCGACGCTTTCTGCCGCAGCCTCCACCGCGGACGCAGCGGACCGAGGCCTCCTCTGTCACCGACGGACGGGTCCGACGGCTTAGCCTTCGTCCGTAGCTTCCTTCCGCCGCCGCTGGCAGTTCCTTATACCGTCGAGGGAGAGGACCGCAGCTTCCTCCACGACTGACGTACACTTCGGAAGCTTCGTCCGTCCACGACGTCGCCGTCCGCCGCTGTCGCAACTGCCGTCCGCAGCTTCCTCCGTCACCGCTGCCTTCTCCTTCCCTACTGTCAACCATCGGTGACACTTTTCTCTTTTTTTTTTCTCCCCCTCTGCTACTGTTAACGGTTTTTTTCCCCCCCTCTAACTACTGTTTAACAGTAGATTGTTAAATCTCTAATATTTATTGTTTTGAAATTATATGTTAGATTTTAGAATTAATGACAAGTGTACAAAGCAGTTTGATTCTAATATACGTCTTCGTAAACATGTTTAGCATATTTCTATTTAGTCGTATATTCTTTTAATTATAATATTCGAGAGCATCTCGTTTCGCTCGGGCGAGAGCCTCGGCGTTGTGGGACTTTGGCGTCATTTGTTTGTCAATATCATCACTAACCACACTGTCGATATATCTGCTTTATGGATGCAGCAATGCACATCATGCTTACGACGTCTTTCTCTATAATCTGGCTTAATGATTGAACTGATCTTCATGTTCTTCATTTGCTTTTACCTCTGCAGCCATCGAAACCCTAGGGTTGGATCGACATCGGGCACCATGATCCCGGGAGGTCAGAGCTTAGTTTCGTCACCTCCTGTCTTCTCGCATGATGGCAAGAAGCTCCTGGTGTGCACTGGTTGCACTGTCTCCATCTTCAGCACCTCTACCGGCATGAAGGTTATTCGTCTGCCTCGAACTTTGATTTCGAGATAGGGAGATAGAGAGTGTGGGAAGAGTTTAAGTTTGATGATCAAAATCCAATATTGATGTGTCAGATTATGGAATTGGAGGGTGGTCACACTGACCGTGTCACGTCGGTTGTCGTTGTTCCAGTAGCCGCGCCCTCGAGTAAGTTCATCAGCTACTGCTGGACATCATCGATAGATGGGACCATCTGTTACTGGGATTTCTCTGTGCCTGAGTTGATAAAGAAGGTGAAGGTCCAGCTTCCAATCCATTCGATGGTAAGTATTGTCATTCCACCTCTTTGTGATTTTTGTTATTCTGCAAGCTTGCTGCATTTGACTAACTAACTAGTTAATGATTACCTCTCTGCTTCTTTCTTTTCATTTTTTTGTTAAGTTTTCCTTCTTTATATGGAGAGTTAGAGTTTAAGTGATATTGAGGTAGACATGTACAAACAATAGTGGTTTAAGACTTTAAGTCATGATTTTAGCTTGTTGCAAGAACTACTTGGTCGTTCCATATCAGAAAAGTGTTATCTTGGACTTGTCGGTCATAAAAAAATGGCCTCTAAATTTAAACCAAAATGTAGCATGTATTGCATTTGGGTTTCCTATTTTCTGAAGAACATTGACCAAGACATGAATTCGGTAGCCTTTTTTATAACTACTTCAATCATCTCAAATCACCTTCCATGGTTCCTGATTCACCCAGTTGGTTGACTATTATCCAAGGTGAGTAACAATTTTAGTTTCACGTTTGCTACTTTGCTAAGAAGACAAGCTTTGGGACTTTGTTATCACATAAAGATTGCTCTCATATGGCCTGACTGACTGGGTTTGAAGTTATAGAAGTAGTTTCTTTGTTTTCAAGTATAAGACTGTATGTATATATTGACTATCCCTAGACCTTGCATTAGTGTTTCCGTTTTTCACTTGAAAATTAAAATTTGTCCAAAATCAATGTTATATGTGGATCAGAAAAATATTATATGTTATTTGTTAGATCTAGATTTCCTAGATCTTTCACTCTATGAAACTTCAGTTTGGTGGAACTACAGTTCTACACTCAAAATGGAACTTGTGAAACATTGAAAATGCTTCTAATTTTTGTAATTAAATATTTTAGATGTATTTTCGGTTGGTTTCCTAGTTAGGATAGTCATAGATTGGGATCTTTGTTTCTTGTGGTTTTTGGATAAAAGGTTCATCATTAGTTTTCCAAGTTATCTCATTACTATAAGTCGCTTTAATTCTTATGATCATGCTTGTATCTTTTGTAGTTTTTCTGTTATCTGTTTGAAGTTTTATATTGTGTGATATACAGATTATAATCCATTTTTGTTATTGTGAAATCTTTTTTGCTTGGCTATCTATTTTTTTTGACATGTCTTTATGTTTGAGGTCTATTTCTTTGTATCGTTTTGTTATCTTCATGGGTTTTTTTGGTTAAATTTTTAATATGGTATCATATTCTCGTAGGTCATTCCGAATATTTCATGCACACCCATTGGAAGCAGTGAGAAGACATCTAATCATTATGCATTTATATCAGTTGAAGATCCAACCATATCAGCTGATGAAAATAAGGCATTTCGTGGGCAGATCCAGATTTACAATTTAACAAAGTCACGTCGTGTTAGAGGATTGTTGGCTGAGGTATGACCATGAAAGTATTCACTCTGCAGTCATTCTTAGGATTGATTGTTTAAACAGTTCCTGTTAAATTGATGTGACATATAATCCTATTAGAACATTAAGCAAAGATTTATGTTTTTTTATTTGCTGAACTCACAACTTTTTATTCTAGTTAATGACTCAAGAGCAGACTGTGACATGATATTGAATCTGATTTCTGCAGACCAGAAAACCAGAGTTATTATCTGTGAGTAAAAATGGGGAATTCTTAGGTATAACGAACAAAAGAAAACTTGACATTTGGAAGATTCCTTCAAATGATTTTAGGATTGAAGAAATAAAAAAGATCAAGCTGCATCACACAAAGAAGTTGACTGCTTTAGCATTTCATCCAAAACTGAGAATGGTGGCTGGAGGTGATGTAACAGGAAGGATCTTGATGTGGATTGGTTTTGGGAGAAGAAAATTCTCAGGAGATTCACAAGCAACCAATAAGAAAAAGAATTTAACTGATGAAGAAAAGCCTGGGGTGAGGAACAATGATGATGCTGATTCCTGCTCGACATGGCATTGGCACCCTAGTGAGATTAAGTTTCTTTCCTTCTCTTCTGATGGAGCTTATTTGTACTCAGGTAGTGCATGTTTGACTATGACATAATTGATTAGAGCTTATTATGATCTTTTAGATGTTACAATGTAATGCCTTATCATGTTGGCATTAGTTCATTGGCAGTTGATTGACTATAGTCAAAATACATCTGATCATAGAAAGGATAAAAAAGACCTTCATTACTTCTTTGAAGCTTCCTGATTTTCAAATTTTTCTATAACATATAGTTTAAGTGTTGCATCCTTGTTCTTATCAGTAAGCTTTCATTGGATTGTATCAGGTGGAAAGGAAGGAGTCATTGTGGTTTGGCAGATCGACACTGGAAAGAAAAAATTCAAGCCACGTTTAGGATCACCACTTTTATACTTTACTGAATCTCCAGATCCTTCTCTTTCTTGCGTAAGACTTCTGATAGAAAATTGCTTTATCTCCCCTTGTATGATCTAATTGAATATTGATGATTCATCTGATGCGATGCACTTACTGGATGGATAATTTTTTTAGTTTCTTGCTGTTCTCTTTAGTTTATTGTTCAGATTAAGTCACTAGGAAGATGCAGTAACTATGTAGTGGCTTCTAGAAATCTGGTATGGGTTGCTTGCTTGATCCTGACTGCAAAACATGTAATCTTGTTATGAACCTCTACGAGGGATGCTAGGTGACGGCTATATTTTTCAGTCAAATAAATTTGTGCATGAAGGACATGGATCTCAAATCAGCATTTTGGTTTGGCCATTTCAAGACTGTCCTGCTTACATCTCAATGTTATATCAGATGACAGCTAAAAGTTCACCTGGAATCTAGACATTTCCTTTCTAAAACTCTGATGGTCTCTTGATGTTATTGTTTATAGCTTAGTATATTTTTTAGGCATCATAGTTTTTGGGTGACATTATATTAAAATACAAATCAAAGTCTAGCTATGTTGCATTGATATGACAGAATTACTTGTCTCTCTTTCATGAGAAAGCAAAACCAGCTAGAGTTGTAATTCAACTAAGTCATGCAGTCATCACCAAAATTCCTTAAATATTCTTTTTGAAATAGTATGTTCCTAGTTATAAAATAGCTAATATCCGGGTTTAAGTAGAAATTTTAACAAAATTTTATTTGCTTATATTTTTGGGGCAGTTCAATGCCTAATCCTCTCTATATCAATCTGGATTAAATTGTTTTAGGACATTGGTGTCAGAAAGCAATCATTATCCTGCATTCTTATGAGGCTAAAAGATATCTGAAGCAACAACATTATCTGCACTTATCACCTTCAAAATAATGATATTTTTTTATTGGCATGTATCTGGCAGTGGAACTCAACCGGACATTTGTAAAAATATTGCACTAGTTTTTTGTTAAGTGTGTGCATATATATATGTATGTATGTAAGCAGCATTTTTCATTCTTACATGGATTCTTGTGTACACCTTATCCAAGAATTAAACATACAATGTATGAGTTTGTTGCCCTTCTTTTTTCCTTCTCTTTTACTGTACTTCGTCGTTCCTTCATGGGTATGATACATATGTGAGTTTTCTAGAGTAGTTGATGTTAATTCATATTTGGCATTTCAGGTAACTTGTGCAGATAATCACATCCATCTGTTAAAAATGCCTACAATGGAGATCACAAAGTCTATTGCTGGAATCAAGGTTTGTCAGATGGTTAATACACTAATCCCCTGTGGGCTTATTTCAGACTTAAACAGTGATACATCCTTGCATAAGCTACCTTCAATTAATATATACTTATATGATCATCAGCTTCCTTTCTCATATCCTGTTGGACATAAAGGCTTGTGCACACAAGTTGCATATGATGAGACAGCTGGGTTAATTGCTGTGCTGACTGAAGATTATTGTGTACAGTTCTTTAGTTTGTTTGATAACCATGAGGTTTCACAGGTGAGCAATCTTCCTCTGCCTCCTTTTTATGATCTGAAGTTGTCTGTTTATTGTTCTATTGTTTTTTTAGAGAAATATATTTATTGTGAACATTCTGATATTTTCTAGGTGCAAGTGTGCAAAAGAAATTTCCAACCCGTGGATGATGTCACGGTAAGGAACAAACTTATTCTAGATACACGAATCTTGCTGTAAGGTTCATCGTACCATGACATATTGTTTGGTACGGGCGATATTTACTAATCTAACAAGGGATTGATATGGGTGATGGATACCAGTCCATTGGTACACTCTACCATATCTTGTGTCGGTATGTTAGTACATATCATACCGACAGTCGGTTGGTCAGTACACTGGTACGGACCGGTAAGGTGAACCATGTCTTGCTATATTATCTTGTTTGTAATAATCAAGTCCTCTTCGACTCCAATTCTTGGTGTATGCCCCTTTTTTTGTACTCTTAACTTGTTTGCTGGCTGTTCATTCATGCAGAAAGTTGTAGGCATGTTAATTTTGACACAGTTCTTTATATCATGGAATGTTGCTAATTTAGAAGAATAATTAATTTTGTCACCATCCTGTAGATATGAAATATATATATATATATATATATATATAATATTATATATTAAATTTTTACTGATGCTTTGTGGAATGGTATTGTTTGTACTTTTGATGGTTGCAGCTATATGTGGCTCTAGTCTCTGTTTCCCTTGATGGCTCCCTAATGGGCACAGTTGATGTTAAGATTCCTGAAGATGGATTAGGTGGACTTGTAAGTCTGAAATTTTGGATGCGTGGCTCTCGGATTGCAGAGTACTCATTGTCAACTGTCATTTATGAGCCTCACAGGTAAAAATACTTACACAGCTTCATCCAGAGTTCAATATCTTTACCTCTGTTAATTTTACAATGGTTACTTGATCTCGTATTTCCAAGTTGGTCTAAATGAGCTCATATCTCTGTTCCACACTGCTGCTTCTTGTCCAAGTTACAAGTTATATCCAAAATATTTTTTGGGATTTATTGTGTGATGTAATGAGCAATATACTTGTCATCAATAAGAAGGAAAAACCTTCTAGGTTTTTCTGTAAATCCTTCATAACTTTGCAACAAAGTCGAATGTTAAATCTTCGATTTTCCATGCTACTAAATTTTATATATCTCGAACTACTAGTCAGGGTGCAAAGTGGAAATACATTATTGCACAACCTAAAATTGTGCATGTTGTAGCACTCTCCTGATCACTAAAAATAGTGAAAAGATTATTGCCTTCTTAAACTTATTGCAATATTGAGACTGTATTCACATGAAAAACCTTCTAGGTTTTTCTGTAAATCCTTCATAACTTTGCAACAAAGTCGAATGTTAAATCTTCAATTTTCCATGCTACTAAATTTTATATATCTCAAACTACTAGTCAGGGTGCAAAGTGGAAATACATCATTGCACAACCTAAAATTGTGCATGTGGTAGCACTCGCCTGATCACTAAAAGTAGTGAAAAGATTATTGCCTTCTTAAACTTATTGCAATATTGAGACTGTATTCACATGATATCTTCCTGTGAGGTGGATATGCTTAAGTATCACAAATACTTGAAGCAAAAGTAATGTGATTTGAGATGACCCAGTAGCAGGAATTAATACATATGATAAGAAAGACCAGAAAACATGTTCTTTTCCATACTTTTATTATTTTCTTTTGCTTCTTTCACGATGCTCCTTTCCATAATTTTAAATTCCAGATGCTCTATATTGATCTTTTGTCATTTAGATCTAAAGATACGGCCTTCTGAATTCTATACTTTTATTTGTTTTGATGCCTTACATGTGGATCTCATATTTTTATGCAAGGTTACAAATGTTTGGTTGAAGGGGGTGTTATAATTACTCAGAAATATTTAATACATTGAATCACTGATGTTCGGAAGGTGCATTGACTGAGATACCGTGATGTGTGGGTGGAAAAATGGTCAATTAAAGTTGAAGTAGTTTCAATTTGTCAGAAAACAGAGTCTGAATTTTACTATGGAATCTAATATTGTGAACAACAGTCAAACACTTCAAGTATAGAAGGAGGAAACATATATTTTATATGAACAAGGTTATGAAGCTATTAGTTTTTAGGATATCTAAACATTTGACAATTGTCCGATTCACTTTTCTTTTTCCTATTCAACTTGGTTCCAGCTTGACGGTTGTGATCCCTCTTTTTAAAATGGATATCCGGAATTTGTTTCTAAAGTTGTTTTGTGGTTGTTGAAGATCCTTGGTTCTGAAAATATGGATATCTTTTTTGTAATTGCTATTCTTTCTTATGCAGTGATGCTGAAATTTCTTCTCTTGCATTCCGTCCTGGACATTGCATGGCTGTCACATCTTCTTTTGGTGGTGATTTTAAGGTAATACATATTATTTACTCTTCCTTGTGCTACTCTTTCTGTGTTATGTCTGTTGAATATCAATTTTTTTGACTTTGTAGATTTGGATTCATAATTTGGGCATCAAGTTAAATGATCAGTTGCACCAGAAAACTGGTTGGCGATGCCAATCTGTTGGTTCATATAAGTAATAAATCTTTATTGTTCATGTTTTTTTTAATATTCTGATCAGATTTTTTTTTCATGTACTAAATGCCTTGTCTTTGCAACTCTCCTTTTCGCATGGCAAAACTTTAGTGTTGAATGAAATTGAAATTATTTCTAGAGGCTGCAATCTGTTGAATCAAACTATTGGAAGCATTCTATTGGTTGATGCTGTTTGTAATCTCAATTAAGTAAAAAAAATATTGAATGCTTGATTTGCTGATTTAATCCTCATAGACAAATTGAGTTTACTTGCAATGATCACATTACGTCTACCTGAAACCAAAAAACTACATTCAAGGGAAAACTGTGGAGTCTTGTCAGTCATTATGATATGAACATCCAGAGATACTTGGTAAAAAATAACCATGTAGATTTTCAAGTTTGCATATGAATAACCAAGACAAGTTTGCTAATGTTAATTTTGATAGGAAACTAGTGGCCATGGTCTATGTAAAATATGATGGATTAAGCAAGTTCAACACCTAGAGTTAGTTAAGGATGTTGCTTGGTATTACAAATGAGTGGTCATGATTCTAAACATTGACTTGGCTGAAAAGTCATGTTGAGTTGTGATGCATATTGACAGGGTTTGGTCATGAGTTGCTGCTGCAGATTCACGAGATTTGGGCATCAGTTGACTAGGGATGGAAATCATGGTAACTTATCAGTGTAGATTCTAAGATGTACAGACTACCAATTTTGTGTATAAAACGATGGCAGAAGGGTAACCTAGCAGGAATTGAAGAGTGCTGCTTCCTTCGCTTGGCAATGTTATTTTATAAAGGATCTGCACCTTTTGCTAGGAACTAGTGGATGCTATTACTATGAATATTGGAAAATGTGCAATTTTATATGCAAACTTATGTTACTAGCAAGGTGCAGCGCGGATGGCCATGCTGTTTTGTTTTTGATGAAAAAGATGTTGTCATGCTATCTTGGTACAATAGCTGCTATTCTTAAGTAGTACTTGTCTTAGGTTTTTAATTCTTTGATGGCATGGTTAGTTGAGGGATTATCAGTGATTTAAAAAGCGCTAGGCGTCAAAAGGCGTCAAGGTCCAAAAATGCCCAAGGCGCTAGGCGCTCGCCCGAGCGAAGCGAGGCGCTAAAATATAAAAATATATAATATAATTAATAAATATAATTATTTAAAAATTTAAATAAAAATATGCTATTACATTAAGAAAATCTAAGATACAAAATCACAATGTCACATTAACAAAAAGTTTCAAAATTCAAAACAATAAAATTTTACATCAAAGTCATTTATGTTGAAACCTAGCAATAATTTCAAATAAATAAAAATTAACAACATTAAAATCAAAATAATATATTATTAATCTATTAACAGTATTGAAAATTAATCATTTCAAAATTCAAATAAACTTAATATTAAGAGTATACTATATACTGAGCCTGGCGGAGAAACGAGGAAGCAGCGACGAGCGGCGGCAGCGGTAGTGGGAAAGGGAGCGGGAGGCGCGAGCAGCGGGAGGGTTCGCGGGAGTCGCGAGCAGCGGGAAGGCTCGCGGGAGGCGCGAGCAGCGGGAGGGTTCGCGGGAGTCGCGAGCAGCGGGAAGGCTCGCGGGAGGGCTCGCGGGAGGCGCGAGCAGCGATAGCGGCGAGCAGCGGCAGCGAGAGCAGGAGCGACGAGCAGCGGGAGCGGCAGCGGCAGCGGCAGCGGGTTAGGGTTGGGTAAGGGTTATATCGGTTTAGTTGGTTTGATTGAACCAATTAACAACCGAACCAGACCTAAAATCCTGGTTCGGTCACTTGGTTTACCCAGGCGCTCGCCCGAAGCGCCCAGGCGGCGCCTGTTTGAAGCGCGCTGCCTGGGACATTAGCGAGGCGCTCGGGCCTCGCCTCGCCTCGCCCAAGCGCCTAGGCGAGCGCCCGAGCGCCTTTTTCAATCACTGGGGATTATATGCAGCTTCTAAACCTGGTCTCAGTTAACAATGGTTTTTGGACCTGTGATGATATCTGTGATTTTATCAAATTCAAGGCTTCTCTCAGATGAAATGGAGCCACATTACTGGCATGATGTTTCTAGTTGATATTTCACATATATTGCCGTCGTGTGCTCTTTAGTAGGGGGTTATCCAGCATATGTATTCCATACTGCTGTTTGCCTTGTTGAATCATTTGCTTTACGTTACTAGAAAACCAGTGTTGAAAACATATGATTGATATGCACATATCATTGTAGAAAAACAGTATAATTCAGTTTCTTTTGCAATAATACCCGGACATTTAGATTGATTTAATGGTGATATACTTGAACTATATGTATGTGTTCATCTTTTTTTCAATCTTATTGAAATGATTTATCTATCTATCCCTTTGAATGATCAATGAATTATACTTGGTGACTAATTTTACAAATTGATGACAGGGGTAGACCTATGACAGCTGCAGCTTTTTCTGCTGATGGATCTGTTCTAGCTATTGCAGCAGAGTCTGTAGTTACATTATGGGACCCTGATAGCAATGTACTTGTGGCTGTAATTGGAGATACACATTCGGTGATTATAATCTTACCTGTATTGCTTTTATTCGCAAGCCCAAATCGGGTGACAATGTTCTGATCTTGATGTGCTTTGCAGCCAATCACGTCGTTGTCATTTATCGGGAATTCGGAGTATCTGGTGTCACTTACAGGTGGTTCAACACCACAGTTAGCTGTTTTGAGTACTTCAAAATTAAGATTGTCTTGGTCATACAAGCTTGTTGCAGAGGGTATGTATTTTGTTTACTGTTAAATGCTCATGTTTTGACTACTGCCTTAGGACTCACACATTGTGTGAAAATTAAAACATCATATGCATTTTTCTCTTTGTACTCTCAGTAGGTTACTTGATGGTCTTAGATCTTTGAACTAATTGGTTTTTCATTTTTCTACAGCCTTAAGCAGTTCTCGTGATACATCTCAATTTTCTGTACTAGTGCTTCTCAATTCACAATGTGGAATTGAGAAAGAAAATGGAGTAATATTATTGTTCGATGTGGAAGATCCAGTTCCTGTGGCAACTTGGATGGTGAAGAAGGTAGATTCTCTACATATCTAGTTGTACTTTAGTGACTATTTTAGATGCAGGTTTGCCTATTGTACTTGTCTCCTTATTTTCCATTTGGCAGACTTTGCGCTTTGAAACTTGTCTGAGCATTTACGGACCACACTTCAGGATTAATTTAACCTTTATTGAAGATCTATTTGTATATCATTGTGCCTCACTTGGCTTCTGTGTTACCTTGATGATCTTTCATGACGAAGAGTCATTTTTTCTAATGTCTTTGGTTCAGTGTTTTGTCTAGTTTCATGATAGCTTTGCCTTCTAGATTTATTAATTACTGGAATTAAATTCAGTCACAAAGGATCAAATATGTAGTAGTTTTCTAGTTCAGTATGCCAATCTGATTACTCATTTGCTGATTCCAGGCAAAGGGTGGTAGCCTTGCTTTTGTACCTGCTAATCCATCTTTTGATGAAATCAAAGCTATGGATGGAGAAAAACCTTCTTTGCTGGTATATGTGAATGGCGATCATGAGTACATCATCTTTGATCCACACAACATGGACAATAGAATTGGCAAGAGTTCTCGAACAAGTCAAATTGCTTTGGAAGAAGCTGGTAAGAGTCATGATGGCATATCTCGACAGCATCATGTTCTATAGATTCTGTGGGAGGTTCCACATGACTGGTCCACCCACATGACATAAAGCTCTCCTTGCAAGCAGTTTGCTTATTTTGTTTACTTGCACAATGCTTGAATGTAGCAATTACTAACTTTGGTTGCTTTTATTTTGTATCTTCCTTTGTGGGGTTTGCAGGCATGTTCGGGTATGCGTCAATTTATGGGGATCTCTCTAACCTAAATCCAAAGCAAGACCAAGTTCCAGAAATCACATTTGCCCCCTCAGAAAGACCTTGGGAAACCATATTCAATGGATCTTCCCATGCTCTTCCACCACTAACCAAACTTTGCTCCACATTTTTGGCATCCTTGATCGAGAAGAAGCCAAGTATGAATGAATGATACCTTTAAGATCTTTGGACTCTAATATGCAGTCACCACTATGCAGTCTCCATGTCTGACACATGAAGAGTTTACAGAAAGCGATAAGGCCTTCAATCATCAAAATGGTGGTATTCAGTCTTTTTTTGACCGCTAAAAAAGATTCTATGTTTGTGGCAGCCAGAGGAGCAAATATCAATCTGCTTGCAGAAAGTGGCCATTGATTTATAACGTGTAGAAATCTCAGGAGGGTGCTCATGAGCTCAGCTGGGTTCTGAAAATTTTGTAATTTAGCTAATGTGCTTTGTAAATTGGGATTCCGAATTTCCTACTTGTAACTGGCAATTGTTTTCTTTAATTTTTGAAACTCTTGATTCCCAAATGCATTGAGTTGAGATTGATTTCGATAATATATTTATACATTTATTTTTGAAGTTTTCCCAGGAACAGCTATTTTCATGTTTTGAACAAGTGGTTCTTCCTTTGGTGTTGTGCTCCCTGCTTCCTGTGATCTTGCATCCGCCGAGTCCCTATGAGCTTTGAGTTTCCGAGGTGGATCAAGATGAACAGGACTGATCAACGGTCGTACGTGACCTTTACCAGACAATGTGAATGGCTGCAGCGATGGGACCCATATGGAGCCATGGTGTGGTGGCTTTTCCCACCGGCTCTTCTAGTTGGGTCCGCGATTTGTTTTTGCCTATTTTGATTCTTGGCCGAATTCTAAAAATATATATTTATCCTTTGAAAATTATCAAATAGTATTTTTATTATCAAAATAATCATTTTATCTTTGTCGACCATCCCGTTTTGCCCGATTGATCATCCTCCCTTGGTTGCTTGTCTTTACAAAATAGTGTTTTTTCATATAGTATTTTATTTTCTTATCAAAATAGTATTTTTTCAGGCGTGGGCTGGCCATGCTTTTGTGTGTAGGTTGGCCCCGTTGGTCAAACTCCATTTGTGTACGGGTTGATTTCATCGGTCACACTTGTGCTTGTAAGTGCAAGCTGACCTTATCGATTGCCCTCCTTTTATGTGTGTGACACTCTTGGGGTTGAGGAGGGTGGTTAGGGCTGACATGAGACACCCACACTCAGTGCTCACAACGCTCCTGGGTTTGATGAGAGTGCAAAGATGGTGACAAACATAGTGTAGAGGGAAAGAAAAGACGATGGGTTCAAGAAAGATAGAGGCATATTGGTTCGTATCAGTTTACTGATCAGCTATCTGTACGGTACATATCGAACTGTATCGAATTTACCGACACATAATATACTAGAGTGTACCAATGTATCATATATATCGATCCTCTATCAAATCGATACGTATCGATTATATCGAATGGTACGTTTGATACGTTAAACCTTGATACGAATAAAATAATTTTTTTATTAGTTTAAGGATGTTTCATGAAAAAAATAAAAATTAAAATATCATGCTGACGTAAGACTTTTTCTGGAAATTCGCTCATGATTTTTTATTTTTATTTTTTTTTCAGTTTATGTGCTCAATGTCTACCAGCCACATGAATGGCGTCATTGGTGGGGCCCGAAACAGAGCCGCGGTGTTACTTACTCTTCACGCCATTTGTTTTCACGTAGGAAAGGGGTTTTCTGTTTGTTTTTCTTTTGCTGTTTTCTTTTTACGTGTCCACTGTCTACTAGCCACGTGAATAGCCTAGTGATGGGCCCACGTTAAGCCAGTGTGTGCGGTCTGCACGCATTTGCACGTGGTGTTTCGGTTGGGCAGGCGCTTTTGTTTGTTTTTGTCCTACGTGGATGCATCGATGCGAGTTCCCTGAAAAGTGGGGCACGATTCCCCCCCGTCTCGCCCCAAACCGCACGAATTGAAGCCCGCACTTGGATATGACCCATTCCGTCTTCGCCTCGCCCTCATCGTCCTCCTCTGTCTTCATCGCCACAACCAACCATCGCTGCTATCACCGCCGCAAAACCCATCTTCCGATTACCTCCCTCCCACCATTTCTTCGTCGCCCGCCGCCTCCTTCCCCTTCCTTGTCTTGGCCACGCCGGCTTGCCGCTTCGGCTCCCGTCCGCTGCACATCCGGCTTGTCAGGTAAACTAAGACGCCCTCCTTCCTGGTCTCGTGTTCTTTATGCCTCTTTGCTTGCTTGCTTGCCTGTTTACTTCTTTGCGATTGCGCTTCTTGAATTTGCGTTTCTTTAACTGGCCCGAATTGGGAATCTTGTAGTTGTGCGTTAGGGCAATCCGCTAATTGCGTGCTGTTAGATCGGTCTGTTGGACGATTTTGTGTACATCACTTTTAGATCTTGATCTGTTTCTTTTTCAAGATTTGCACATATCTACGTGAAATCTTGAATGACGACTAAGGCAGACCTGTATCTTGAAAAAGGTCATTAGGGATGTCAGGCTTGGCTTCGATCACTGGTAACGCATGCGTGCTTGTAGATGAGAGCAAGGTACAGGGTCTACAATGGGAAGTGAGTAGACGTTGTGCCTATTTAAGGTAGCAAGGGTCAAACTACATGCTACTTGCCATATTAAATTTAAATTGTCCGACATCCCATGCCAACTACACGGAAAAATGCTAATCTTTCACCACCCTATTTCACTTGCACATTTTCTTACATGTCGGTGGGAAGGAATCTATTTGATATGCCTGGTTGTTGGAACCGAACTTCTACTTCTATTTATGTTAGTATCTTCAGAGCATTTTTTCAAAATATGTCGGTAAAAGGAATAAACCAATTATGATCGGAATGGCCAATATGAACCTAAGGTGATAGGAACTTTGTCTTACATGACTTTCATGAAATTCGTAATTCGTGAAGATTCCATATGATATAACATGAGACATGTTGCTCATGTTTTTTTTCCCTGAATTTGTTTCAAGTTTCTCAATTTGGCTGCAGAGATGGATGATGTCACCGGTTCAAGCTTGTTTCCTTTGCAGCGTTGCAAAACTGTGCACGTGGTTTGTTATAACTAAATATTTTATCCATAAATCTCTTGTTTCAAAGCAAACTCTCAGGCCTGAAAGTTTAATCTATAATATCCAAAATTTGTGTGTAGGTTAGGCATGCACAGGGCATTCATAATGTGGAAGGCGAGAAGGACTACAAAGCATACTTATCTCCAGAACTTTTTGATGCACATCTTACTCCATTGGGATGGGATCAGGTGCAGTCGATGTTTTTTTGGTTTTATTATATCACAATTAGAGCAAATACACTGTTTCTCTTTATTTCCTGCACATCACTTGTTTGAGTAGTCTATCTCTTATTGATTCCAATGCGAAGTCAAAGAATTTTTGGTGCACTGGTGCACAGCTTTTTTTGTCATAATTTTTGTGTGTGCATTTGATGTGGGCTTCTGCAATTAATATACCCTATTTGATTTAACAAATAATTTATGAGATACAAAATGGTATCTTGACATTACTGCTAAAAGCTGTTAATCACTTGCAGTTTTCTTGACGTTAATGCAGCATTTATGTGTAAGTTCCAGCAGTTTCACAAATATAGATTCTTGCAACTAAATATGAATTGAGACGAAAGCTTTATTTTATGCTCTCATGATAATATCTGCAGCTCTCTATGGTATATTCTATTGATAAATTTCTGTAACTTCTTTTGGTGGGTACCCTTTAGTCTAGTTTGGGATGGGTGAAAGTAGGAAAGTAGGCACTTGATTCAGAGATGGGTCCAGGCTCTCTCTGTGGCTCAAGTGCCTAGATAGTCAGATTTGGGTTTATGTTTGGGCATCCTACATTGTCTTTCTTAATATGAGGTGGGGATGACAATGGTTGAGCTTTTCGGGTACTTAGGTGACTGGGTCCATCTGATCAAGCTCAAATTGGATTCAATTACCTTTTAAATGAGTTTGGGTAGAAAGTAGGTAACTAAATCGGGTTTGGATTTGACTTCAGGGGCCTAGGTTACTAGATAGTCAGTTTCTGGTGAAATTCATTAGTACCTAACACAATGCCATCTCTAACAGCCACTCATGTTGCAGTTTAGTAGAGACGAACTGCTATAACACCTGGCTAGGTTTGGCGGTGTTAAAAGGTTTGACACAGTTTAACACAAGGAATAACATAGGACTAGTTTGCAAAATGTTCAGGATACTTGTGGTCCTGACACTGAAATTACACATTGAAGTTATTCTGTTGCCAATGTTAGTGTGCCTTGCATTTGATGATGCCATTGGACCAAGAAAAAGATGACTAGAACTCTATAATCAATTTCCACACATTAAGAGTGATTTCCTAAGAAAAAAATGACAAATCTATCTTTTGTCAATATTTGGTGAGATTATGAATGGATTCTTAACTTAAACCCTTTGGGTAAGTGCAAATTGACCTAGACCATACCCATTTAAGATGACCCATTGGGTTCATGTCTTTGGTCTGGGTCAACAGTTATTAACCACTGGTGGGATGGGATGGGTTAAATTTTGGTCAGGCATATGTTACCTTGATAGTATGGTTTAACCCTATATGCTAGTTATATGTTTTAAATCTGGATCAAGAATATTTGGCTTATTGGCAGGTCAGGTTAGGCTCGGATTAGCATTAAGTGAACTCAACCTAATCTGGCCATTTCCTACCTCTAGTTGAGATCTCATTTTTTCAATTCTTCATATTTATATATATTTTTTCAACAAGATTTGGAATGCTTATATGATCCAAACTCAACACATACTTTACAAATAATTTGATAATGACACAACTTGACCTATTTATAAGAGCCATACATTTGACACACTAAGCTGTAAAGACTGTTTAACAATTTTGACATAATTATTAATTAAATCTGTTTGGGTCAATCATGTCAATTCGTTAAATTCAAATCCAATTCATTTAATAATTGGGTTGTCAACCATTTTATGACCCCAAACATATAAACCAAACACAAACCTACTAATGCCATGTCGGCTTTTGTTGCATTGACTTGTCGGGTCATGAATTACCACCCTACATGTAATGCTGTAAAATAACCAAACTGGTGAGAGATGAACTACTTGGGTTGTGATGCGTATTGAAAAGAGATAAAAGTACAGACTTGTAACTTTGAAATTGAAAGGCTATGAGAGGATCAAAACTAGTGGAATATGCAAGGTCACTTCTGATGCTTTAAAAACATTAATGATTCAGTGCGAGTGATACCTTATGAAGCAATAGGGTACCATGGATTGCAACAGTAGCACAGTCTTCTTGTCATGCCCTACAAATTCTTCAATAGCTAGTGGAATATTCAGTTGCACATGGCTAACATTAATGATTCAAATCGTGGAGATTGTGATATCCCAAAATGGCCCCACATGGAGAAGAAATAAAATTGTGTGGTGTATATGAACTTGAGTGGATGCTAATAGGGAGGTACATTTAGGCCACAGATTCCAAGACACAAAGCAGTATTGGACTTGGTACATGTCATGGCAAAGTTTGA